AGCGCACATTCCTCCAGCCTTTGCCAGCAGTTCCACAGCAGCAGTAGTGCATAGCACTGATGAGGACCACTGGAAGTAGGGTTCCATATGGTTTTAAAATGGTGTTCACACATCTGAATCATATAACCTATTTCACATAACTATCATGAACATTAAACAATGCTTACCTATATTTGAAAATTATTGTCCTAGTTCTGTCCTAAGTGGCTTCAGAGGAAAAATCTACTGTCTCTTAAATTGGTATGTCTCTATAAGTATTTTTTTCCTGGTTGCTTCCATTTTTTTTCTTTATCCTTTATTTTTTCAGAAGTTTATGAGCTATTTCTATGCTTTTTCCTATTTGACTTCCACTTGTTTTCTTAAATATTTTCCTATTTGATTTCCACTTGTTTTCTTATATATTTCATCAATTTGGGGACATTTTTTTTCCATCTTTTTTTTCTTTTAGTGCTTTCTTAGTCCCATTCTTCTCTCCTTCTGGGATTCTCATGACACAGATATTCATTGATATTATTCCCTGGATCCCTGAGATTCTGCTAATTTTATTCAGTCAGCTTTTCTCTGTTATTCAGACTTGATAGTTCCATTGATCTGTCCTCAAGTTTACTGATTCTGTTCTCTAGTGAATTTTTTATTTTGGGTATTTTTTACTTCCATGGTAATATATCCATTTGTTCTTTAAAAAAAACCACCTTCTGTTTATTTTCTGACATTTTCTTTCTTATTTCTTTCCCCATTTGCTTCAAGGGGATTCATAACTGCTCGTTGGAGTTGTTTGTTTGTTTGTTTGTTTGTTTGAATGATGCCTATTTAAAATCCTTGTCAGAAAAATGATATCCTGGACACATATCATGAGCCTCTATCCCATATAATCATCAATCACTCTTCTGTTCAAGTTTAATGCTAGGACCGTCAGGGCAGAAACTGGTATATATTGATCTTCTTGCTAAGTCTACTGACACCACCCCAGCAAGAGTGAGTACTAATTTTTGTTGCAGATAAATAGGGTAAAGGTTCAGCTACCCACTTGACCCACTGGCACCTTGCCATTGAACATGGAGCACTGACTCACATTGCCTCATTATTTCAGGGGGGCTTAGTTATTCATCTTATAACCGGGCTCTCCTGACATCAAAAAGAGGAGGGGGAGAAAGAACAGTACCAGCTGGTCCGTACACTACCTTCTTCTGCCTGGTTTATACTGAATGGGAGTCAAGGCTCACCTTCCTCATGGGGCCCTGATGACTTGGGGTGGAGAGAAAAGAAAGGGATCACGGCTCTTTACTAGCCCCACCTCAAACTGCTTCATTAAGCCTCCTTGACAGCATTCTTCAGTTTCCGGCTGTGCCTCCCATGGACTAGTCTAGCCAACGAAAGACAGCGTTGGTGGTCAAGTCTGTAGTACTCGCCCCTCTGGGCAGAGGGGATAGGCAGGGTGAAAGGATAGAAACCTATTTACTCAGGAGGTCTTGTAAAACCAGTGGTAGGTATAATATCTCCTTGCCAGATAGCACTTCCAGTTGGAAAACAAGCTATCTAACAACTGGAGCTATCGGTTTAACAGGGGACTGAACAGCCCACAGGTCTCGCAACTCACCGCCGAAAGCACCACAGCAGGACATCCGGGGGTTCCTGACTGTGTGAGATGGCGCTGGAGAAGGATCCTTACCTTTATTGTTCAGAGTCTAAAAGAACAACCTGTGTGGATTCATTTGTAGGACATATTCCTTTTAATGAGTAACCTCGGTGTGTAAAATACTCGTTTGGGTGGCATTTTCAGTGTGTAATGTAATTCGTTTCATGATTGCATGGTTGGGAGTGTGTAGAATTAAGAATTAAATATGGAAAAGTCTTATTTTTCTTAGCTGCTTGCTTAGAAATTACGTCATCCAACAACTGCTAATTAAATGAACGCAACATGCACACACCCCTAACTTGATTCTAAGAGCTCGGAAATGTCTATTTCTACTGGGTAGTTTTTACACCATGCTTCATCTTTTAGCAGTAACAGCAGCAAATGTTGTCTCTTAATGGAAAGAATCCAGAGACTTAATCTCAAGCTAACCTGTTTTTCTCCACCACCACCACCACCCTTTTTCCCCCTTCCAGGAGGACAAGTGTGAGTTTCGTGGCTTACTGCTGCTCCACCCGGTGTCTGCAGACCTTTGACTTACTGAGTTGATGAGCACTCAGGAGCCCGCAGGGGCACTGCCACTCGGACACTGCTTGCTGACGCTGCACAGTGTGCGCAGGGAGGAGGCCAGGCCGGCAACCAGGTCTTCTCACCCGGCCCTACCAAGTGCAGGAGGCTGCAGAATTCTCTGGAATGTCCTGATTGAGCTTCAGAGCTAAAATGCCTTCGTCTTCTCATCCGGCCCTACCAAGTGCAAGAGGCTGCAGAATTCTCTGGAATGTCCTGATTGAGCTTCAGAGCTAAAATGCCTTCGTCCTTTCCCTGAGTTGGAATATACCCCCCTGAAATTCAGAACCCTCTGTCTTCTGTGTTTTTATTTGTGTCTCATACGCAAACTATTGCATCTGTTGTGCCTCTCCAAGTCTAAACCAGGTTTCCATTCTCTCGATAAGAACGATAGATTGACAATGCAACAAATTAGCTTGAAATACAAAAATCTTCAGTGGTCATTCTAATCTTCTTTCCTTCTTCCCCCATACACTTGTTTTCCCCACAGCTTTTTTCTCTCAGTGGTTTCCCCAGTGGCAACTTGTTTGTTTTTGAAGAGTGGATGTTAGCAGCATATACTGGCTTCATTGACAGGGTGGGGTGTGGGAGTTGGCAGCAAAGTCAAGCTCCTGGAAGGTCTATGCCAGCATCTCAGGGCACACCCTCTGGAAAGCGTAGCCTTGTTTACAAATAAGGCTGGGCATTAACAGACATATGTCTTCTGTTTTGTTTTTAACAAGAATGTAGATTGTAAATGAAACAATCGTATTTCAAAATGTAATCCACAGAAAAATACTTTATTGAATTTTTAAATTTCCTGATTTTTTTTTTTTTTTGGTATAAGAAAAGTTTCTGAAACATTTGACGCTTTAAGAGATTTGATCCCTTTATTTCTGAATTTAAACACTTTGGAATAATGAAAAAAATGGGAGAAAAGTACATCCAAATATGACCTCTAGTGTTGTGTGGGTTTATGATTAAATTGATACTGAATTTGAAATGGTTTTGTTTCATGTAAAAAATAGACTCCAGCTTTATATTCATTAATGGCGTGATTCTAAATACAATTTTGGCACACTTACTTTATCATGCATTTTATTATCTTCATTTTGACCCTTCATTTCTTATGCACTTTAAGTCACTGTTGTCCAGGACACATAAAACACAGCATGGAAGTTCCAAATTCAGCCCTAAACTTTTGCTAAAAGATCATAAACTGAAAATGCATGTGATTACACCCTGACAGGAAAAAATGTGGCTCTTAATATGGAACCATGTGTCTGCTTTTCCTTCCAAAGGGTGCATTCTGATGTGGCCTTGCTGCCAGATGTTCTTGTGGTTGCTGTGCTGTTTGTGTGTGTGTTGACGATGGTGGGGATGATGCAGGGTTTGCATAAGGCGGGACTAGAAGAGGAACCAAGAGTGTTTGCTCAGTACAGTAATTATTGTCGAAGAATTTCAAACTTGTCAAAAAGTTGGTTTGTGGCATTTTATTAGCTGCCCTACATCTCTAATTTGAGGCTCAAACAGTGCTAAAAATAGTACATAGTTAACATGGTTCCTGACAAATGTGTGATCTTTTAAAATCTCACCACCTGCTCCCCAGAAGGAGGGCAGAGAATGACCGTGGGCTCTAAGTGCCTCTACTGCTTCTGCCCGCTCCTCTGCTTTTCGTGACGTGGCCCCGTCGCCTCGACACCTCAGAGGCATGCGGTACAACAGGAAATGAAGATCTGTACCGGAATACCGCAGTCCTTTCCTCCTTCACGATGAGGGACATTTTAGCTGTAACCTGTGCATCACAGAAGTTGGCAGGTGAAAGGTGTGCCATAGCTTTATGAATGTGGTTCAGGCTAGAGTGCTGATACCTCTTGTTTAAGAGACAGGAAGCATATTGCAATATTTTTCTATCTTGCATGTCTTAAAATGGATCTGTGAAGAATGGTAATCTGATATTTAGGATTCCTTTTATTTGGTCTTGTCTGAAACTTTATAAAAGCATCCTCTTCTGTGCCTGTTATAAATGATTGCGTGCTCAGCAGCAGCAGTCGGCTGAGTATTGCCACCTTCGGGCAGTCTCAGTCCTAATCCCAGGTGGCACACTTGAGCTCCATTGATGAGAAATGAAATTTACACTTGGTTTGCTTCGTGCTGTTCACTATGGAATTTAGTGCTCGATTCCCTGATGGAACTCTTAACTTTTAAATATTAAAGAAGTGTTATAGGGAGGGGAAAGTTCACCTGCATGATATATTTTTTAGCTGTGTACATAACTTTATAAAAAGGCTAATGTCAGAGTTATTCTATATGTTGTTTTCTTGGGGAACAATTAGGCTAGTTAGAAAGATATTTCATGCAATAGTAGTAATGGGAAGAAGGGGTGGTGAGCTACTTAGAAAATACGTATCCATGTCAGTTCACATCAGTGATCTGAAGAACAGTTAAAAGTACATCTAAAATTCAAGGTGGCCTGTTGATCACTGGCCTTCCTGTAAACTCAAAAGAAACAGTTTTATCCAGTGTGTTCCATTCATGGCAGCCCCGTATGTTTAAGTAGAACTGTGTTGCATAGAATTTTCCGTGGCTGATTTTTATGGTGTGGACCACCAGGCTCTTATTCCAAGGTGCCTCTGGGTAAACTTCGCCTTTCTTTTAGGAAATGAACCTGTTAACCCTTTGCACCACCCAGGGATTCCTGGCCTTCTTATAATGTAATGCAAGGAGGGCCCTGTTTTAAGTGGATCCACCCTACTGTTGCTTTCAAAATAATCTGATTAAACCATGCCAGACACCTTGGTTACACAGCATTGTGTAGATGGAAATGACACATTTTCAATTAATATTATATTGAGAATAATTTTTTAATTAAAAAAAAGAATCAAGACAGAGCAGAGCCCTGGCTGATGGAGGATCCAGTTTGGTTGATAGGGAAGAGGGATGAATTCTTGTATCTGCCATCGGACTCTCCTCTTCAGGAAACACAGAACTCTAAATAACTTTCCATTCATATACTTGGCACTCACTAAAGTCACACTCTGGCTTGCCTGACTAATGAACATCTCACTTTTTTTTCTTTTACATAAAAATTTTTTTTTAATTAATCACTTTATTGACGAACTCTTACAAATCTTATAACAATCCATCCTATAGTATTAAGCACACTTGTACATATGTTGCCATCAACATTTCCAAAACAATTTCTTTATACTTGAGCCCTTGATATAAATAAGCTCCTCTTTTTTCCCCTCCCACCCTCGTGAATCCTTGATCAATTATATATTGTTACTGTTATTTTGTGTCTTACACTGTCCATTGTCTCCCTTCACCCACCTTTCTGTTATCCGTCCCCCTGGGCAGGGGTACTATATATCCAACCTTGTGATGGGTTCCCCCTTTTTCCCCATACCCCATCCCCACTATCCCCCTACTCTCATGGTATTGCTACTCCAACTGCTGTTCCTGAGAGGTTTATCTGTCCTGAATTCCATGTGTCGAGAGATATTATCTGTAATGATAGGTGTACTCCGGTCTAGCCGGATTTGTAAGGTAGAACTGAGTCACGGTAGCAGTGGGGAGGAAGCATTCAGGAACCGGAGGAATGAGGTGTGTTTCATCGGTGCTATACTGCACACTGGTTGAATTGTCCCTACCTTAACCCCTCTGTGGGGAGATGTCCAATCATCTACAGATGGGCTTTGGGTCTCCACTCCAACCCCCCTCTTACACATCGATATAATTGTTTGCTTTGGATCTTTTGATACTTAATACCTGGAACAAATCTCACTTTTGTTTCACATTGAACATTACAAATTAAAACATTTATAGTCTAAGGAAAAATATAATAACACTATGAGTTCCTGCATTTACTTTTCCCGAAAATAAACTTACAGACTTATTTTGTAATCTCTGGGGAGCTGCAAAAGATAATTTCAAAACTTACTGATGGTAAAATTATGTTTGCTTCCTGAATTGCTATAAAAACAAAAACTAAAATATTAAAGCCATACATTCCTTTAGCAGAAATCAAAGCTCATTCATTTATGAACATGAATTCTAACTGGGCCCACATTAATGCAACCTGTTGTAATTAAGCATTGTGATATAAGTTTATTACACAGATTTATAAGCAGAGTCTCTTTAAGAATCTTATTTTAAAACATATGCTTGTATAACCCGGACTATTTTACTGTGCTTTTCATTATTTTCATTGTTTCCATCCAATCCTTCTTGCAGCTAAGAAGACTTCCTACCTTTCTTCACGAACCCACTCAGTGAGTACTTTGCTTTCTCTCTGAGCAGTGGAATAGCCTGCGTCTCAGAAATCATCCAGTCTCACTCTTCCCACCGAACGCACCTTCCTGTGTCAGTAGCTAATAGATCTGAAGATGATGAAAGGTTTGCTACAAAAGAGATTGCCCATAGCTGAGTGACTGTTATCCTGGACAAGCAAAAGAGACTGCTTCGCAGCTTAGGATGCTCTTTTTGAAGCATGGCTGTACAGTCCCTTGAACTTCCAGAGACAGGTGTCATCGGCCCCGTAGGGTGGCTAGGCAAAGAAATGATCTTGAAGATTATTTTTATATGCAATTAATACATACAAGGGTTAGCTGAAGTTTCCCTTCTCACAGCACAGCATGGGTTCTCTTTGTTACCTATGTTAAAGGGTATCAAACTTTGCTTTGTTTTTCCTGGCAATTTTGAGAACATATAATAATCCAAGGAGGCTTAAATAATAGTGTTCTAAGACTCTGAGTGTGCCCTTTGAAAAGATATGCTAAAATGTGTTTGGAGTGTGAATATTTTTCTAACACTTGCGCTGTAGGTAGCTTGCTTATATCTTCTGCGTATAAAATGATTAAGCTAGAATCATGTAAATGCTTAGGAGTGTTGAGAGTGGTGGTCTCATTGTCCTAACCAAAATTCATTTAAGAAAAACAAGGAATTTATTAAACACTTAAGTCAAAGCCCACGGTAACATTAACAAAAAAGATGGAGTAAAGAAAATTATCCCTTCCATAAAAGCAGTGTGAAAAGTGCCCCCCCACACACACACACACCAAAAAAAAAAAAAGTAGAACCAACTTTTAAAGAACTTTGGAGATTAAGCAAAGTCTTTCAGCACACCAAAGAGTATTCAGTCATAAAAAGTGCATCTCAGTAATAATAGCCAGTTGTTTTCTTAATTTTCCTTATTATAACCCCCGCCGCTCTCCACACACACACACAACAACAACCCCAGCTCTATAGGAACTTGAACACCAGCAGCTTGGCAGCCACAGAGGCAGCAGAAAAGTGTTTCAGCAACT